GTATTTGCCGGTTCTCCAAACTACTCAAAATTTCCGCTACTGGTTCTCCAGAACTGGTCAGAACCTGCTGAATACCACCTCTGGAATACAGCTAGTCCTCAACTTACTCCTATTCATTTAGTGACCATTTGAAGTTACACCAGCACTCAAAAAAGAGACTCACAAGCATTCCTCAGACTTATGATTGTTACAGCATCCCTACGATCATGTGATGAAAATTTGGTTGCTTGGCAACAATCGCAGCATCCTGGAGTCATGTGATCATCCTCTGCAACCTTCCCGGGTGGCTTCCAACAACCAAAGTCAGTGGGGGAAGCCAGATTCATTTAATGACCATGATTCACTTAACCACAGTGATTCACTCAACAGCGATGGCAAGAAAGGTGGTAACATTGCGCATGATTCACTTAACAACCACCTTGCTTAGCAACTGAAATTCTGGTTGTGGTAATAACTCAAGGTTTCATGATGTTTGGTGCCTTAGTTACTTATAAAATAAGACAGATGGGATAAACACAGGGGTGGGATGCTATCAGTTCTGCCTAGCTCTATAGAACTGGTAGATCTGAAGAACAGTTCTGTGTCTGCTGCTATTTGGCCCACCTGCCCTCCCGGGCTCTTACCTGTCCTTTATTTCCTGCTTTTTCAACCTCAGGTGCTTTGCACAGCACAGCTGAGGTTGAAAAAGCAGGAAAGAAGTGGCTTTTCAAATGCTGCGCACCTGCGCGCTGCACTTTTCAGCTCTCTGGGCGGCACAGCTTAAGGTTTTTTACACACGTGCGCAGTGTCACCACAGTCACCAAACCGGTAGTAACACCAGTTGAATCCCACCCCTGGATAAACACCTAATAAATAAATATATAAGTAAACAACAAATGCAGCCTTTTGGGAAGAGGAAACAGAGCACATGAGAAGCCCAGTATAAGATTGAGGAAAAAAACTAGGAGTGGGTTGGATGGCACCAGAGATGGTAAAACTTCATGATCTACTTAAGAGTTTGGTTGAATTTTTTTGGTTTTGAGGAGTGAGAAGAAAATGACAGTCTCTAAGTCATCTCTACCTATCTTTGCATGAAAATTATAATGGGTAGTAAATGGGTTGAAACTATGCTTCCTGCTGACAGCAGGATATAGTGGATGCCCAGTTCTTGGGAACTGTTTTGGACATAGATCATTGACCTCAGACCAAAATGCACACATGGTTGGAAAAGATGATACAACAGCGTATCGACTTAAAACCTGAAATATTCTTGCTGGGGATCTTGCCTGAAATTTATAGTAAAGAGAATGTATATTTGATTATTCATGTTTTAACCGCAGCTAGAATTGTATTTGCACAAAATTGGAAAAGTGAAGAGATTCCTACTGATGACAGCGTGATCAGGAAAATATTAGGATGTGCAGAAATAAATAGGTTAACACTTGCAATTAAAGAGAAGGAACACATTGAATATTATATGATATGGGAAAAGATATCTGTACCCAGACGACACACAGTTTAATGGATGGATTGTTTGCATTAAAAATTTAAAAAAATTAATAATAATAATAAAAAAAGATCACTGACCTCTGAAAGCCACTGCAGCCTGCAATTGAATTAATTGTGGCCAGATAATACAGCAGACTCCAGGACTTTAACCAGCAATTTAAACAGTTATGTACACAAACACTGAACTCTAAGCTTCAAAGCCATGCATAAAAGTAACTTAGCCTGCTAGAGGTCGTCTAGCATTGTTTTCTTTCTGTTTACAAGCCCCTTCAGAGAAAATATTTCTCAAACTAGAAAAATGTAAGGGGAAAAAACCCTGAATACTTTGGAAACTTAATTCACGGGGCAACTGGGTATGCTATGAAAAAACCCTGTGCACGCGCTCCCTCCCTCCCTCCCTCTCTCTCTCTCTCTCTCTCTTTCTCTCTCAGAATGTCAAAGACAATGTTGACAAGAAATCCCTCAAGTAGTTCTGGCTGCCAATCAAAGATCAAACAAGCTTGCAGAGGGAATTAGGGCTGCAGCAAATGCCACTTTAAAAGTCAACGGGCAGCCTGCCAATCCACAAGATCCTTTCCTCTTCACAGTAGCTGCTGCCCTGAGATGACAAAGTGAGTTTGCTATCAGATGAATATATGGAGGAAATTGATTATCCCCAAATTGCAAGGGAAAAAAAAACAAAGCATAAGAAAAGTTTATCAAAAGTAATAGTAATTTGCAAAGAAAACTTTAGATTTCATAGAAATAATTATCCTTTTACTAATGGATATGTCTATCTCTATTATATCACACGTGAAAGCCAGTCTAGTACAGTGGCTAAGAAACTGGGCTAGAAAATGGACAACCAAGATTTCTAGTCTTCCCTTGAACAAAGAAGCTACTTAGTAATTTGGTCCAGTCTCTCTCTCTCTCTCTCTCTCTCTCTCTCTCTCTCAACCCAACTCATTCCCTCAATATTGTGGGTAAAATACCATCTTATCTAAGTTCACCACTAGATTACTTATTCACTTTATCCAAATTGATGAGTCCAGAGACAGGTAACAAAAATGGTGCGATATCTGAGGGACAAAACATATCAGAAGAGAATGGAGGGATTGAAGATAGATAGATAGATAGATAGATAGATAGATAGATAGATAGATAGATAGCCTGGAAGACAGAAGCAAAAGGGGGTGATATGATTGAAACCTTTAAATATATTAAAGGTTCTAGAAGGCAGTATTTTCAATACTAATCAAAAATCAAGAACGCAGGGGTATAGTCTCAAAATGACAGGTTAAAACAAGATAAAAGAGTCCCTGTGGATTTTACACCGCTAATCATTGCTCACTATAGAGGGTGGTGCTCGTCTCCATTTCAAGGCCAGTCAGCCCATGCTATCTGAAGACATTTCCGCAGTCATTTGGCCAGCATGATGTCACGGAACACTGTTAGCTTCCCACCAAAGTGGTACCTCTTTATCTACTTGCATTTGTATGCTTTAGAACTGCTAGGCTGTCAGGAGCTGGGGCGAGGGTGGGAGCTCACTCCATTGCATGGAGCTTGGGTCTTCAATCTTGGGTTGCCGGCTTTGCATATGACAAGCCCAGCGTCTTAACTGCTGAGCCCCCACACCACCAAATTGACAGGAGGGAAGTTCAAAAGTAATGTTAGAAAGTGTGACTTCATAGAGAGGAGTGGAAGTATGGAACCAACTCAGCAAAGATAAGTGGGTCAATCATCAGTAACTGAGTTTAAACATGCATGTCCATTATCCGACAAAAATAAAAATAAATAAAAATAATAATGGAAAAATAATGAATCAATTAGTTAAAAAGAAAACACCCCCCAACTAAACTCAAACAGCATACTGAATGGATCACTAGGTCTTTTTCCACCATCAGTTTTCCATGTTCCTATGTTTTTAAATCAATATATTTGTTAGCTCAAACTCAAAATAATAATAATAATAATTCTGCACATTTATTTCATTTCAGGCAATGTTCTTGTTTTTATCTTTTATTTTGACTGCAAAGAACTCAGTCATAATAACGCTGTCCTGCATAACAGTTTTCATTTGCTATAAAAATGCATTCAGGGACAGTATTTAATATGTAATTTGAGATATACTGTAATTCTTATCATAATGCTCAGTCCATCTTTCTTCTTTCTTGGTTTCTTCTTGAAGATGAAGCCAAAAGATTTAATTTATTATTGAAACTATCAGGTATAAATTTAAAATATCAAATTTAGGGTTTCTCTCTGAAAATCTTGTACATGACAACTAATATTCATGTAACCATTAATTCATGCAAATGAGTGATGATTCTGGACACTCCTAGATTTCCAGAATTAAAATACAATGTGAATTTATCTAGCAAAATGAAATAAAGACTTCGATAATAGCTTCTACGTTCTAAGAGAATTCAAATATATCAAATGCAAACTTTAATCCAATCTAATTTGGTTATAAAGAACTGAGACCCTTCATGGCTGGTTTAATTGATTTAAAAGTACACTTAGGTAGCACTTAAAATGCTAAATAAAGTACACTAAGAAGAATTGATTTTCTGTTGGAACTCCTGTTTTAGGATCAATTCATTCCTCTTTGCCAAATCAAATTGGGCATATTTGTGAGTATACAGTATTAGTCTGGTTTATAAATGTTCCTAGTTTTTCTCTAAAAGGTGTTTAAAAAAAGGGATGGAAATATACTGGAGTAAAAATAAATACCCAGATGGTCTGATAGTTAATGTTTATTAACATTTGGAAATGCTTTTTTCCCTGACAGATATAATTCATTATAATATAGACCTAGGATATACTTTATTGTATTTTTCAAAAAGCAGATTAATTTTAGACAGTTATAACCTGTTATTTATGACAGCCTATTGTAATTAACCAAAACAGCATTACATTATAACTATCAAATATTCCTTGAAATTGATTAATGTGCAGTATGCCCTTTTTAGTCCTACAAAAGAGAGTTTATCACACTGTAAATATTAAATTTGACATAAACTTAAGAACATACATAACATATAATTTTTTAAAAAGAAAAACAAACCCATCTGCTTTCAAGTAATACTTTTTTGTGTATAATATTGGCAAGATAGATAGATAGATAGATAGATAGATAGATAATGGGAGAGAGACATTTAATCTTAAAGGGGAAAAGTTTGGGACACATGTAATAGATGAAATCAGGTCAGAAAACTAAAAGCAAGAGTGTGTTATTTTTTAACTACAGAATAGAAATATTTTGTGCAGCAATATAGTTGTTTTTTTTTTAGCCCATTGCTCCAGAATCAACCAACCATTCATCTGGCTATCTGGGATATTTCAGGAAATCTAAAAGAATCTGGATTCTCATGGGAAGTGAAAGGAATTAGACCTCCTGGGTGCACAGATTATACCATCTGCTGAAATAAGCTGTGTCCCTGGTAATTAAAGTTAATGATATTAATATAACAAATCTGTAAGCAAATGGAAAGTGAGTTAAGCAAGATCCCTGGGGATTATTAGACACTAACCTCGAGTTTGAGAATGTCATGCTGAAGTTTCCGCTGGAACTCCAAGAAGTGGGAGATGGTCAGTTTCCCCTTCAAATCAGCTCCAAAAAAGTATGTCGTCAATGCGGAATTGAAGCCAGTCTTCAACGTATTCCCAGTCGTTGAACGGTCCCTGTGACGCATCCCCATGCTAGTCTGAGAACGAGTGATGCTCTGAACCTATAGAGGGCAAAACAGAAATAGCAATAGATATTTAGAGTTTTTTTACCACCCCACCATAGTGCTTTACAGCACTCTCTGGGAGGTTTACAATGTAAGCATTGTTTACATATTGCCCCCAAAGCAATCTGTGTCCTCATTTTGCTGACCTCGAAAGCATGGAAGGCTAAGTCAACTTTGAGCTGCTCAGGATCAAACTTCCGGCTGTGGGCAGAGTTTGCCTGTAATACTGCATTCTAACTACTGTGCTACCATGATGTCGAATATCCAGCTATAACTAGGCAGATGGCAGCTTCATTATCTCCCCAAAATGATTGAAGTTACCATTTATTTTAATATGCACATTAAGTTGAGTTTTAAATCCTTTAGAGTGCATTGATAAATTTTTGAATTCTCAGAAATTACTTTGTTCACCAGAGAATTATCCAGATTATGTGGCTGAAATACAGAACAATCCCTATGTTGCTCTACAGATGAACATGGCAATGCCCAGTGTTCCCAATATGCTCTATTCAGGTATTGGTGAGAACCATTGGCCTTCCAAATACTGCTGTACTACACCTCTCAGAAATCCCATCCAACAAAGAACCACAGCAGAATGACCAGAAGGACCCCATCTATGCATGGTTTCACAAATATACAATTCAGAGTAACCATGTGTAAGTTCAGCTGAAAAGAAAATGTAATCATGATTAAGATGGGAAGGACCATGCATGATGAGCTAATCCATTAGTTCTCCAATTGATATTAAATGGCAAAGTATGAAGTGGATGTTTTGTTGTATTTGCTTGACTGTAAATGTTTTCAGAACTTTACATGAAAGTAGCAAACCTGATTCTATGATGACCTCTCCTTAGAATTATCAAATCATAGGACTGAAAGGGACTTTCGAGGTCTTCTGGTCCAACATATTGCTCAAGGCAGGAGTCTTATACAATCCCAGTCAAATGGTTCTCCAGTCTATTTTTGGAAAACATCCAGTGATGGAACACCCAGAACCCTAGGAGGCAAGCTATTCCATTGTTTAATTGCTCTCACTGTCAGAAAATTTCTCCTTATTTTTAGGTTGTTATCCGTTTTGGACAAACTTCTATCCATTACTTCTTGTCCTGCCTTCTGTGTCCTAGTCAATCTCCTCTTTTTTGTGACAGTCCCTTAAGCACTAGAAGGTAATGTGTTGACCCAGGGTGTAACACAAATGTAACAAAATCCAAAACGTAAATAAATGCCCTCCAATTTGGCCCCACTGTTCAATAATACTCAGTTGGAGATAAAACGTAATCAAAAATAGTCTTCAAAAGAAAGTAATATAGTCCGAATTTAATGAGCAGATAGGGGTGAAATAAAAAACCAAACAAACTACAATGATGAAATTTCCACAACGGAACAAGAGAAGTATTTACCAAATTCAAGGAGATAACAAGGCACAGTCTGTTGGAAGGACGCCAACCAAGATAACTTCAGACCAAAATAACACACGCTTTGTTTCCAGCGTTTGCCAGTACGCAGGTCCAAACTCTTATTCAGTTCTCACACCTGCAGCCCATGAAGAGGATCAAGGCCCTCTCCTCCCGAGGAGACCACGTCTCTCCCTTATCCTCTCCTTCCTACGTGCCCTAGGATGGATAGGGGATGGGCCTGGGTCCTCCTCTGACTGCTTCGCTGGCCTCTGCCCTTCCCCATCCTCTTCCACAACCTCCGGAGCCACACTTCCACTCCCTGTTGGCTGTTCCTCCTCTCCCTCAGAGTCAGTCTCCACCAGGGGCATGACATCCTCCCTAATCCTTCTCTTTGATATTGAGATCTTACAATGGGAGATGTAATGGAAGAAATTCTGTTTTAAATCTTGCCATTCAGTAGGGTTTGACTGCGGAGTGGAGTGAGATGGAACACACAGAGATATAGAGATATGTTGAGGGCAGGGCCAGTGAAAACAAAGCTGCCTCTTCTATTTGATGGGTATTTCAAAAACGTTCCATAGCTCCTTTTCATAAAATTTTCAAATATTGTTTGGCCAATAATGGAAGAAGTGGGCAAATCTTTTACAGCTCTTTTATTAAAGCATGGGGGCATCATACAGAATTGCTTCAGGCTTGGATATCTCAATTGTGAAACGTATTCCCCGAGCTTAACAGTACTTTTGCCTTGATGGATGTCTAGTCAGAGTCAAAAAATGATCAACCAAAATAACTCAAACCTCATCCTTGTCAGCTCTGCAACCTTGTCAGATTTTCAAAAAGAAAGAGACGTGGAAACTCTGCAATTTGCTTTTTTTAAAAAAACCCAAGCTGTCTTATAAAACAGAGATGTTATAGTATGTCCTGCGGGCCCAGAACACTTGTTCATACTTCCCAAAATGTTCTATTTATTTATTTGATTTGATTTGTCAATCGCTTAAAAGATAATAGGTATAAGTATAAACATAATTATGAATACATGAAATGGGTACATATAAGAAAAATAAAAGAAACAATAGGACAGGGACGGTAGGCATTTTGGTGCGCTTATGCACGCCCCCTACAGGCCTCTTAGGAAAGGGGTGAGGTCAACGGTAGACAGTCTAAGGTTAAAGTTTTAGGGATTTGGGGAAGAAACCACAGAGTCAGGTAGAGTATTCCAGACATTGACCACTCTGTTGCTGAAGTCGTATTTCCTGCAATCAAGTTTGGTGCGATTAACCTTGAGTTTGTATCTATTGTGTGCTCTTGTATTGTTATGGTTGAAGCTGAAGTATTCATTGACAGGTAGGACATTGCAATGTATGATTTTATATACTAAGATTGGACCGAAGGCAGCGTAGTTCTAGATTTTTCTAGGTCTAGGAATTTCAAGTCTGGTGGCATAAGGCATTCTGTATTCAATTCACTGACAGTTCAAGGCGCCTAAAACACTTTGGCTATAGACCCTTCAAAACCTGCTGTGCTGCCTCATTGGGACAGAGAGGGAGGTCCTTGGATGGATGAGCATGGAATGCCAGGGTGTATTCCAAGAGTACATCGTCTCAGCATGGTCACCAAATCATGAAGATCATCCCAGCTTTCCAGCTAAAATAAGAGGCACCTACACTGCACAGCAGCAATATAGGAAAATGCTAGAGGCAGTTGATTGCTTTGGCGACCATTGAAGAAAGCATCATTTCGTATTATGTAGGAGAAGGTAGTTATAAACAGCTTTGGTATTTTACCAAGAAAGCCTCAGTGTGCGAACTGTTTTGGAAGGTTTTCAATTTCAAATGCTAGGGGAAAAAAATGCTGAGGAACATCCAACATAAATCACAGCATTACGTGGTAAGAATAATGCCAGATGTTCAAGCTGATTTTAAATAAGGCTGAGGAACAAGAGATATTGCAGATGTACTAAGGATAATTGAGAAAGTCCCAGAATGCCACCTTCCCAATCAACATGTGCTTCATTGATTAGCCTTTGTTTGTGCCAACCATGTCAAGCTATGTTCAGTAACACGGGAATCCCAAACATCTGACTGTCTTCACATGAAACCTTTATTATAGATCAGGAAGCCCAGAGCCTGCATGGAACATGAAGAAACAGACTGTTTCCAATTTGACAAAGGAATGAGAGTAGGATGTATATATAACCGCTCCTCCTTTATTTAATCTATCTGTTGAATCTATCTATCTATCTATCTATCTATCTATCTATCTATCTATCTATCTATCTATCTATCTATCTATCTATGGATTGAAGCTGGATTGGAAAACAATGAAAATTTAAAATTGGAGGAAGAAACAATAATTGTGCTGATGATGTCTCTTTGACAGTTGAAAATACAGCTGATCTGCAAACTCCAATGATGAAACTCAAGGTGCATGGTGGAAAAAAACAGGAATAACTTTGAATATAAAGAAGATCAAATCAATGACAGGAGGTGTAGCAAACTGCCTTAGAATGAGCAAATGTTGAAGTGGTGGTTAGCCTTTGCCTTACAGAATTAACCATCAACAAAAAAAAGAGAATCAATTGTCACAGACCAGCATTTGATAGAGGAACATACAAAGCTTTGGGAAAGATATTCAGATGCTGTTTCTATCTGCAGAGATGAGAATCATGCAATTGTTTTCCCTCTGACGTTTTATGGAAATAAAAGCTGGACATATACACTGCACGTAGAGAAACAAACAATTGTTGCGGTATTTGACCATTTCTGGGGATCTTGTTCTGAGATTACTGATTTCAGTGAGACAGCACAAGTGAAGAATGAGGTTATTTTCACACAAACAAAATGGTCAGACTAACCTGGCAACTCTAATTCTAACCCTGACAATAGCAGCATGATTACCAAGCCACTAAATAGAATTAAAAATGCAGAACAATCCCAGCTGCTCTTCAATTGTGCATATGAATTTAAAATCAGATTCAAATTTTAAAAAATGAGAAAGTAGATCAGTACTGACAATCTGTAAACAAAGAGGTCAAGAATACCGAAAAAACGTATATATTGCTGCTTAAATATTGGATCTGACTTACTTTAACCGCTTCATTTATAAAATCATTTCAGATTGATTTATGATGTTGAGATTGAAATGTATGTTGTATTTTGAAAGCTGGCTTCGAAAGACAGCTATCTTGAAGGAAAGCTAAGAAATACATTTAATAACTCAATGAAACAAAGGAATATTCGGCATAAATTCCTAGCAGGAACAAGATTTCAATTATTGGCAGTATTCCTGGACAGGTTATTAATCATCCAATAAAGAACTGAATTTACGATGTTTCTTTTTATTATGTGATATTTCAATACAATTTAGACTCCAGAGAAATAAAAGGTTACTGCCCTAACTTCTCCTCTGACACAATCATTGCAGTCTTTTCATACCAGGAAAAAATCTTGTTTTCCGAATTGGTCAGGAGTCTGCCAGTTTTTAATGTTCCACTGCAATGGAGTTATTTTTTAAGTACAGAATATATTCTGCATTCTAACTTCCTCTTACAATAATAGGAGGTATGATCTTTCGTGTTATTTTAAAGGGTAATATTATAACTCAACCATCTCAATGGGAAGACTAATCTAGACAGAAGATACAGGAAAACGATATCATAAAAAAGAATATGGTACCTTCAGATATAAAATGTGGTAATTTCCATTTTAAAATTTTACATGCTTTTTAAAAGAGGCTGCTGTAGTCTCTCTTGTCCCTGTTGGAAAAGGATTATTAAACTTTTCCCAAAACCCCATTGATGGTGGGAGGGAAGGGAGGGAGCATCTTAAGGGTTTCATAACTTTCTCCCTTTCCTTCTCTCATAAAGCTTTCATTTGTGGCAAGAGATTCTGTGTAGACAAGTGGGAAATAAAAAACATGCAATAGTCTCCAACCACCAACAGTGACAAAAGAAAGGCAAAAACATTTTTATATGAGGAAAAACATGAGCAAATTCTGTATCAATCTGAAGGCCACTCAGTAGGTCAGTTGTTGGTAATGGGTCTAGATCAGGGGTCTTCAAACTTGACAGCTTTAAGACTTGTGGACTTCAAATCCCAGAATTCCTCCTCCAGTCATGTTAGCTCAGGAACTCTGGGAGTTGAAGTCCACAAGTCTTAAACTTGCCAAGTTTGAAGACCCTTGTTCTAGAACTATCATAAAAATTGAAGCTCCTTGCTGTGTTGTCTGAGTCTCTTGGGCGGTTATGCTTCTTGCAAGACTACGCCAAGGAATCTGACGCCTCTAAAGTTAGACGATATTCCAGCCTTAGAAGGGAATATGCAATCTGAATGAAAAGAAGGACCGGAGAGACATGATAGCAGTGTTCCAAAATCTCTGCCACAAAGAAGAGGGATTCAACTTGTTCTCCAAAACACCTGAAGGCAGGACAAGAAGCAATGGATGGAAATCAATCAAGGAGAGAGCCAACCTAGAACCAAGGAAAAATTTCCTGATTGTTAGAACAATTAATCAGTGGAATGATTTGCCTCTAGAAGTTATGAGTGCTCCATCACAGGAGGTTTTTAAGAAGAGATTGGACAACCATTTGTCTGAATATGTTATAGGGCCGTGATGGCAAACCTATGGCACGCATGCCACAGGTGGCACGCAGAGCCATTTGTGCGGGCACACGAGCCCCAGCCAAACTTACCTGCGCTGTGCATGCATGCGCCTCCCAGCTGATTTTCGGCCTGTTTGAAGCCATTTTCGCCCTCCCAGAAGCTCGAGGGAAGCCTCTGCAGCCTCGGGAGGCCGAAAAATGGGCCTTCCAGAAATACCAGAAGTGCCAAAATGGGGCCATTTTCAGGCTTGGTGGGTGTGGCAGGAGAAGGTTACTGCAAAATCCCATTTCCTCCCCACCCACTAATCTGCTTTCCAGTGCCGTTCTCCTATGCAGTGCAGGTAAGGGGGCGGAGCTGTTGCATGTGCATGTGCATGCGCAGGGAAAGCGGAGCGCATTGCATTGTGGGTGCCGGCACGTGCTTACTTTTGGCACACCACAACAAAATGGTTCACCATCACTGTTATAGGGCCTCCTGCTTGCGCAGGAGGTTGGACTAGAACAGGGGTCTCCAACCTCTGCAACTTTAAGACTTGTGGACTTCAAGTTCCAGAATTCCTCAGCCAGAAAAGCAAAGCAAAGTTGGCTGGGGAATTCTGGGAGTTGAAGTCTGCCAAAATTGCCATGGTTGGAGACCCCTGGATTAGAAGACCTCCACGTTTCTTTTTAAATGTTATTTTATTTCTATCTTTGAAACATTTGGAAAGGGATTTTTTTTCTAATGTTGGCACTGGCAAAAGGCAAAATGAAGCACCCCACACTCGATCCAGAAGTGCACAGCACAAGACTTATATTTCTGCTAAAGTCCAAGGATTCCTAATTTGGCGTAATGGCCCAAACCAAAACAAACCCCGATTTACAATCTGTGTGATATGGTTGTTAAGATGTTAGGGTAGGACTTGGGAGATCAAGCGCTAGTCCATTTTTAGCCTGGTAGCTTGCAGTCCTCATTAGGTTTGGGGGAAATCCTGAGGCAGAAAAGCTCATATCTGAACTCATGGAAGAAAAGTAGGCTGGAAATGCAAAAAGTGATAAAAATAATAAAACTGTGAGCTGAGTAAGGGAGGGAAACCATTGTCTTCCTTTATTTATGGACTGCCAGCTGGAGCTTGGCAGAGATTACGACATATTGGAGGCTCTATTTTCAGAGCTCATTAAATATCAGTAAAATAGCTCTGCCTGCAAAATCAAGGTCTTAGCTATGAACAAAAATACACAAATGTTATATACACTGCTGTCTGGATCTGTAAGAAAATTCATTTAAAATTTACCGAAGATGAATTTCAAAACCTGAACACATTTAACATGACTTATTAATCATTCCAAAAGAGTGAGGTTTAGATTGATCCAAATGAAAAATGATATCATGCAGATTCAAATGCTTCAAAACAGTTGTTTTTGAAATCATTTTGAAGGTCAGGCTTTCTAATAAGACATCTTGATTATTTGTACCGACAATACCAGAGAAATAAAGGCTCAGAAAGATGTTAATTGTGTATTGGTTTTAACAATCTATTACAATCAGGGACCTCAGTCACTTTAACAGGCTACAACGAACAACAAAAAGAGTTGTCATTTTGCTGTAATACATTAATGATCAAGTATTGGTTACTCATATAGCATAATGCTTTTCAACTGTCCATGAAAATTTTTGATTTGTTCTTATATATGATTCTCACAGACCCTTCATTTAGTGGCATGATGGCATATTTATACCCATTTAGTCATCAGGAGTTAAGCACACTAGAAAGCATCTTTATTTTTATCTGTTTTTAAATTAATTTGATTTATTGGTTTCACAGGGTCTCTGTAAAGTTCTCACTTTGTGATGGAACTAACATCAAAACTATGCTTGGATTTTTTTTTTAATAAAAAGCAAAAAAAAAAACCCAAGATTAAATTCATGTAGCTTCAATTGTACATACTTATTTCAGCTTCCTAAAACACTTCCAATGTTTTGCTTCTGAAAGTAAAGAAAATCCCTCTAATTGCAAAACTGCACATAAATAATAATTAAAGTTGATATTGTTTCAATATTATTTTGTGGTAATTGAGACAAATGATTAAAAGTTACATTTATTTCTTCCTCTTTGAATCTGTTCCCTTTGGTGGTATTTTTTTCCCTCTTGTCAGGAAATCAGTTTAACTAGCCATCTTTCTGCTAAAGCTTTTATTTTTCTCCCCCTTTGTAGATTTACCTCTGGGGACTCTCCCTCATTTAATATTAGAATATTTTTGGAGGTTTGGAAGTGTTTTTTTTTTGCAGTAGAAAAGCAGTTTAGGAAAACCTTAAAGCAACAGAAAAGCACATATGCATTGTTGTTAAGAGAGATGCAGTCTTTTTGGTTTTTTTGGTAGATATTTTATAGGTAATTGAAAAACAATCCCTCTGGTAGCAAAGACAGATATGTATTGATTGAACCCCAGAAGACAAGAACAAGAGGATGTTAGCTGTCTATTTGGAACCGTGTGCATCTTTTAAAATAGCCAAGGGGGCAATTCCTTAAAAAAAACACCAGACAATCCAACGACAATTTAGCAAGCTCACTAACAACTGGAAATCAGTTAGATGGAAAAGAAAGAGGAAATTAAAGGGTAGGGAGGAGAGAAAGGAAAAAAATGGGATTGCCAGCCAGCATTGCCAGAAGTAGCCTAACACACTTGGAAGGTGTGTTGAAGAAGACGGAAGTTGAAGAAGACGGCTTGACATAGAGACGGAATCCATGCCGCCATGGATCATGTACACACAGTACTCTTAAGAGCAGAGAACTGCATGAATTCGCCTTCTTAAAAATTATGTCAGAAAGGAAAAAAGAAACGAAAACTTGCCTGTTCAAATTCTTCCATATCCACTTCTCCATCACCATTTAGATCAAACATCTTGAAAGCGATTTCAAAGTTTCTCTGAGGAGCTAGAAAAAAAACATCCAGTACATTATAGGCATTACATTATAGAGTAATCAGAAAGCAGCAATAATGATTTAAGAGTGATATTACGGCTTAAAACTTTTCTTTAAAAAAAGTGTACTTGTTTTTGCAATATATTTCTTATGCCTCTCCAATGGGTGTTTTTATCTTCTTATCTTTGTTTCTGCAGCTTTGCTAATATGTATTATCTTAATAGTCCTCTTTAGCAATTTTCTTGCAAAAGTATATCCCTGGAATATCTTGAAATTATGAGCTCTGCAGGGCTATTTTTCTCCAGTGTCTGTATTATGTTTCATAATTTTATTTATGGGTCTAGGCACAAAATGTCTGTAATTTCTGTCCTCTCTAAGGAAATAGAATAGAGAAAGCCTAATTATAAATGGAGGATGCAATGGTAAACAAAAGTTTCAAATCTAAGCATGAATTTAAATGCAGGGTATTGTTATCAGGGCAGCACTGCATAAATTTTCGCAAAGACGAATTTGATGAAAAAAGTGGGACAATGAAAGGTTTTAATTAACCCATTTGCAACAAGAAGATTCTGTGTGAAAAATCAGAGAAATGACAATTTCATTTTAAGTACTATTTACTTGAAATCAAATCACTGTTTTCATTTGGAGTTACTTCTTATTAAATAGTGTGGCCTTAGGTAGCAATAGCAATAGCATTTAGACTTATATATCGCTTCACAGTGCTTTACAACCCTCTCTAAGCAGAGTCAGCCTATTGCCCCCAACAATCTGGGTCCTCATTTTACCCGACCTTGGAAAGATGAAGGCTGAGTCAATCTTGAGCTGGTGAGAACTGAACTGCCAAACTGCTGGCAGCCAGCAGTCAGCAGAAGCAGCCTGCAGTACTGCATTCTAACTACTATGCCACTGCAGCTCATACAGTAATTAAACTGTAACTAAAATTATAGGAAGATGAAAGACAGGTTATACCTCCAGCTTCGAAAAATATATTGGTAGACCCACACTGTAGCCCAGTGATGGCAAACTGATGACATGCATATCAAAAGTGATACACTACAATATTTTGGATGACATACCAACATTCATCAATACCTGACAACCACAGTGGTACCTTGGTATTCATTGGAAATTCATTCCAGAAGATGCAACAAATACTAAAACCAATGAGTACTGACTGTTCTGACCAAGGCTTCCTGAGACGGTAACAATCATACGCTGTTCTCAAAAACTTTGTTTTTATTTCAACGGCTGTGAATTATATGCATTCACAGCCCGTAATGAGTCCCAAACAGTTTATGAATAGTCCAACAGAAGTCTGCCACAGTCTTTCGGAATAAGACTAATAAGCACCCACCTTTATCTCCCTTGAAATGCTGCCGACGACTAAATTGCCAATTAGCTGTACAAGGCCAAACTGACAATTAAAAACGTGCGTACAAAATGTTTTATGACTGCCAGAATCCTGCCACAAACAGAGGACAAAGTCAACATGGAGCTTCAGATTTTAAACCGACCAGAACAAAGTTGTTTCCTGCAAAGGCTCATATCCCTTTGCTCCTCCTTTATGTTTTATGGGAGGGGCCAATCATCCCCAAACCTTACTCTGAGTTGCCCCTTTTGTCTTACAGTAACTGTTCTTGCTTTCTGGCAGCTCTGCACAAGTGCACACTGGGAACAGGCTCCCCCTGTTCCTCTGCCTCACTGATGTCACATTCTGGAGGCTACAGAGTCAGCACATAACTCTCAGATGGCCCTGGCCCCATCTCTGTGTCGGACGCAGATCCCTCATCTGAGCCCTCCCCAGACTCCAGGACTGGCCCATGTTCCTCCCCACTGTCCGACTCTGCTGGCCGCCGGCAGGCCACAACACTGAGAAAACCATGTGACTTACTGCATGACCTGCTATTTCAGCTGGAAGAAACAGAGAATCATGAAGCAGCTGATGTTAGCAAGTTCTTCCCTGGGCGTCGACTACCATGAGAAAAATAAGTGCTGGGATTTCTACTTCACAAAATTATCAAGAACTGAATTTGACAAGTTTTGGAGCAGTTGAGTGCTGAGGTATGACTGTATTCTCAAAAGCTCACCCCATTCTTATATTGGGGCTGCAGAAGCCATGTGACAATGAGGGGTGGATGGGTTTTCTTCTCGCACAACCCCTGAACTTTCTGGAAATTATACAAAGGGCCATGCTCTTGCGTGGCCCCTGCAGGCTCCAAAAATAAGTTTGTTTACTTGTTATTTCCATTTTGTAATTATTTGGTATTTCTCTATATAATACCTATTATCACAAAATTAGACTGCATTTTTTAAAGAAAACAAATGAATATGTAAAGTATTCCCTTTTGTTTGTGTGTGTGTATATGCGTATGTATCTGTGTGATATGCTGGAAGAGTCAAGTTAGGCATTTTCCAAATATGCGGAAAATGAGGTTCAGCATCATTGCCCTAGCCTATTCATGCGGACGTCTTTGATCTAAGACAGTTAATAAAACTTTTTCCCTCTTCTCCATCATTTTAAGCACTCAGGAAAATATTAATTAAAATCTAGTAGCTGCAATAATTACTGTACCAAAGAAATATCTCTGTAATTTTCAAGTTATGGCACTTTTTGCCAGGGAATGACTCAGAAGAAAGCTTCGTATCTATTAATATTCTGTTTGCTAGTTAATTTTGAATAGAGGCTGTTTATCTGTATTTTCATACCAAGTCTTCTCATAACTGTTGTCCCATTGCATCTTTGGTTTAGAGCAGGGGTGTCAAACTCAATGTCCGCGGGCTGGATGCAGCCTGCAAGGTGCTTAGATCTGGCCTGCAGGCCTGCCCTGAAAACAGTGAAGGACCAGCCTGTGGTACCTCTGCTACCAAAAATGGAGCTCCTCCTGAGTGTGACCACGTGTGACCCTCCTGGGCTGTTTTTGGCCGCAACAGCCCAGTGAAAACGGAGTTCTGTTCTCATCAAGCCTCCGTTTTTGGCTGCGATGGCCTCCTGCAGCCCTCTGCCAGTAAAAACGGAGTTCTGTTTCCACTGGCAGAGGGCTGCAGGAGGCCATCGCAGCCAAAAATGGAGGCTTGATGAGGGATGTTGAGCTGCCCATGCCCCCCTGGCCATGGCCCTTGCCCCCCCCAGGTCAAACCCAACCCTGATGCAGCCCTCAATGAAATCGAGTTTGACACCCCTGGTTTAGAGTCAGCCATTAGTTCAATTGTTTATTTACATCAATTGTTTATTTACAACAATTGTTTATTTACATCAATGACATTATATGGGAATTTCATTTGAGTGTAGTGTGATGTTTGTCTATTCATTCTGTAGAGGTGGTAAGGCTGGTTTGTCTTCAGTGCACTCGACACTCCACCCCAATAGTTTCAAGGAGAGGATTCACAACAGGTTCCATCTCGCCCTCAAGGTAATTAGACACCATTCACCTTCAGTAATAGCGAAGAATGACAAAAGTTCACCTTACTGTAAGAGCAATTACAGGTAGTCCTTGACATGCAACAGCAATTGAGCCCCAAACTTCTGTTGCTAAGCGAGACATTTTTTGTTAAGTGAATTTAACCCCACTGTACGATCTTTCTTGCCACAGTTGTTAAGTTAGTAAGTTGTTAAGTTAGTAACATGGTTATTAAGTAAATTTGGCTTCCCCATTGACTTTGCTTGTCAGAGGTTCTCAAAAGGTCATCATGAATCAGGTATAAGGTAAATATGAACCGGTTGCCAACCATTTGAATTTCAGTGCTATTGTAACTTTGAAACAGAGGTGGTATTCAGCAGGTTGATCAGTTCTGGAGAACTGGTAGCAAAAATTTTGAGTAGTTCCGAGAACCGGCAAATACCACCTCTGACTGACCTCGCCCCCATTTATTCTCTGCCACCTGAGTCCCAGCTGATCGGCTGGGTCTTCTTTTGTTGCCCTGCACAGGAGAACGGAGCTGGAAAGCAGGTTAGTGGAGTGGGGAGGGAATGGGGATTTTGTAGTATCCTTCCCCCAGAAATGGGGCGGGAATGGAGATTTTACAGTACCCTTCCCCTGCCATGCCCACCAAGCCACACCATGCTCATCAAACCAGTATCCCACCACTGCTTTCAATGGTCGCTAAATGAACTGTTATAAGTTGAGGACTACCTATACCTTAAAAAAAAAACCTCTCCATCTTTTGAGTGACTGTACTTCCAGTCCCCCATGTCTCATTAATATTTTACATGAAACATGAAAAGAATAGGTTCAATACAGTTCCCACATCAATCACAAGAAGACAATATGGAGTATATTTGCCTTTAAACTTCGACACTCAAGCCCTTCATATTCTTTACAAATTTGAACTGCCTAGAGGCACAGCCTCTGAGCCTCGTAACATTTTCTGGTGCTCATCAAAAAAATGTCTAAATGGAATTTTAGCAAATGTATACTATTCTGCAATAAGAACTAAACTGAAAATGCCATTGATAGTAGAAGTCCTTTCAAATGTTTTAATATTCTTATCATGTGCTGCAGAATGAGAATATTAGGCTTCCGAAACCTTAAAAAGAATTTAAATGAACTGAAATGTTTTCCTTAGATACCCCTCATTATACTATTAATCATATTATTTTCTCTCTTGTTCTCCCCTCCCCAATTAATACATTATATGCAAAATCAGGCACTATAATTATTCTGTGTAATATAGGGTTTTTTTTCCCTTATTTCTTTTCTCTTATTGGGAGGGCACAGGAAATATATCTCCCTGTGGAACATGCATCTTCAGACACTACTGGAATTCAACGATGCGAATGCAGAACAGTATTCATTCATATGCAGTAGAAGCCAACGTGGTGTAAGAAATATATAGCTTTCTCCAAAATGTTCGATGCTGATTCCATTTCTAGTAGCCTATTACTAAACCATTGTCATAGCTTCCCCAGAGCATCCAAGGAAATACAGCTTGAGATAGTACAGAGAACTCTCAAAGGATTTTCCCTGCCAACACACACCATATATTTGCATTACAGAACTGCTGTTCTCAGGGCT